ACAATATTTAAGCATAATGAGTCATTTGCACGCTGATGAGGTTAAGATGACTTACTCTCTCACGGGGTGCAAACAGGACAGGTGAAGACGTGTATTTGCCTTTCTACAGTATTTGAGTCGTGTGATATCTAGTTTGAAACAAGAAGTCTGTTTGCTTTTATGTTACAGCGGCTTATCGGGGAAGTCTGTTACTAAGTTAGGTCTGTTGTACTTTTGCTGCACAAATTGTCTACAACAAATTGTTGTTCTCCATTCTAGCTGCAGGCTCATTTGGTAAGGTCAAATGTCACGGCTTTTTATGTTTGAACTTTTCAAACCTTTGTTCCAAACACACCCTCCTGTAAACAATAACATAACAGTGACATTACATTTTGGCATTGAAAATAAAATCTGACATTCAAAACAAAACCTGAACTGAAATCAGGTAAACATTGCTATTGAAACACTTGTATTAGAAAACACTTGAATACAAAGTGAAGAGTAAAGCTCTGCACTGTCAGTATCCACACAGGTTTCTGCATACAAGAAACAGTAAACTGTCATTTGGATGGCTGAATGAAGTTTAACAATGCTGCCGAGGGGCTGGCTACAGTGCGCTTCATTCCAGCCCCTGAATGTAACAACGCCGCCGAGGGGAGGTCCTTGTTCCTGTTGTGTGTATGCTGAGGCAGAATGGGGCCAGCGCTCATTAGCAGTTACCCAGAGGCCTCATATTGTACTGTACTGCGACTGAATGGCCTCCACCCCCCCAAATTATTATGTCACCTGCCATTGTTTGGAAAAGCTGTTCCTGTGTGTGTGTGTGTGTGTGTGTGTGAGAGAGAGAGAGAGAGAGAGGAGAGAGAGAGAGAGAGAGAGATTTTGAGACTGGCGGAAAACTTGGAATTACCAAATACTGCTATTCCAAACTGCACTAATCAGTATATTTTATTTGATTGTTTTTATTAATCAGTGTGTAATGGTAAAGCTGTTGTTTCTAGCTACAAACCCACAGAGGGTGATCACCAGCACTGCACTTCCCCTCAGCTCAACTGAGCATTTTGGTTTCCTTTAGCTCATTGTTTTGGTTTTAAATGGTAAATGCACTGTACTTGTATAGCGCCTTTCTATTCTTCCGAACACTCAAAGCTCTGTACACTACATGGCACAGTCACACATTTCAAATAGTGGACAGCACACTCTACCTCCTGAGCAACAGCCGGCAAACGCTCTCATCTACCTGACACAGTTAGAGACTCGCTGGTGAATATAGTGGAGAATGTGGCAGCTGAAGAACCAGAACCATACTGGACGGACATGTAACAGGTTTTAAATCAATGCTAATGTTGTTCGTCTGCTAAATAGCTAAATAGCAGAGCTCCCACGGGTCCTTGAAATCCTTGAAAGTTTGTGAGTTTTAGGGGGGGAAAGCAAGGCCTTGACAAGTTCCTGACAAGTAATCTGAAAAAATCAGGTTTGTCTGTCTCGTTCTAGCACACCTAATGGCATGTGCCAGAATGTCGTAACAAAAACAACCAATCAGAGGCAAGATAGATATAAAGAAACTTTGGGTTGGAAACTTGAAGATAATTTAGTGTTTAGTCTTATTCCCAGGGTCCTAAAGTGTGTGACGCTCAGTCAATGAGACTCAGCAATCAACTATATGTCTTGGCTCTGATTGGTTGTTTTCATTCAGGCCCGGTGGATTCTTTCAAATACCATAAGGAGCACTAGGAGGAGCCAGAGGAACCTGGTTTTTCACAGATTATCTATCTCATCTAATACTTTAATGCTGCTGTAAGAATATTGAGAAGAAATATATGATAAAATACTGATTTAGAAATTTAATTTAAGATAAAGTAAGTGGACCTATATATGGACTTATGTATGCATGGTTGCAAGATAAAAGTTCTAATTTATTGATTTATATAAACTTTTTAAGTTGCAAACATTATGACATAAATAATGTGGAAAAACTAGTTGGAACAAGTACATTTTTATGAGTAGTTTAATCAACTTATGCTACCAAGTGGTAATTAAAAATACCCTTTGATTGTAGAGGAAAAGCTCATTCTCCTAACTCAGTTAATTTGTTGAACATAATTTAATCAGAAATTGCCATAACTCAAAAAGATTTTTGTTGTTGAGCCAAAACATTTGTTTTTAGAGTGAAGGAGGACAGAATGAATGTGAGTGATAAACCCAATGATCTGCAGATAGATGTTATGACCACATGAAGTACTCTTTTTCTCTTTTCCCTAGCTCAATTTAGGGTATAACAGGTTCAGTTTTACCCTCATTCACTCCTTTCATTCTGCACTCTTTAGAGCATCAAAGAGGAGTGTAACAGACCCAGTGATGGAGTCCAGAAACTCCAGTGTCAGGCAGCTAAAGACACAGCACCGGAGGGGTTGCTCACACACACACACACAAACACAAATGCACAAGCGTGTGCACTTCCCCACACACATGAACATGCTGATAAGCGGGGTGTTATGGTTTTCATCGTCCTGTGTCAGGCCTGTCGAGTACAGTCTCATAATGGCTGCCGGCAGTGGTCAGTATGGGAGAGTGTAACAAAGAACTGAAAGAGAGAGCTCCAAATAAGGACTGGCACACAGTAGAATTTAAGGCGCTACTCATTATTCTCTCAACTAACATACATTTTGGACACTTGTTTGAAATAATTACACACACACACATATATATATATATTTTATAACTTTTACACTTCAGTTTTACATTAATAGATGTAAAAAAACATCTTAGACCCCACTTCACATATGGACTCACATCCTGTCTGTCTCAATTTGGAAGTTTACTTCCACAAAAATGATCAGCCTCTCAGAAGTGTTGTGGATGTGATTAGCCTAGCTTAGCATATAGACTGGAAGCAAGGGAGGAAGAAAATGCTGATTAAACAAATTCATTAGTGAGCTTTAGAAGTGTTGATAGACGTGTTTATTCACTTTGGACAGAGCCCCACTAGCAGCTAGAATCTCATTCCCAGTGTAGGTATTTGATGCCCTGGGAATAAGACTCAACAATCAACTATCTTTCTCCGATGGGATTGGTGGTTTTCATTCAGCTCTGGTTGATTCTTGCAAATCCTATCAGGAGCTCTAGGAGGAGCCGGAGGAACCAGATTTTTTTTCACACATTACCTGTCTCATGTTCTAATGTCAGGATATAGTGGAAGTTTAGGCAAATATGACAAAAGCTTATTTTTATTAAAGTTACCTTCTGCAGCTTTAAATGGTGATGCTATTATATATCATTTAGCTTGAACAAACTTGATAGTCAGTGTCCATCTTTGAACTGCACCAAACGAAATGACAGGAAGTGATTTGTGATCCGTATGTCAATGACAACACATTTTCCTGTGTGTGTGGCTTAAACAATATACAGGTGATCAGAGAGAGTCAGAGGTGCTTTTACCTGCTGAGATCAAGAGCGTGTCATCAGTTACGTCCTTTAAAACAGTCTGGAGGAGTATAATGCTAAATGATCAGAGTACCTTCCACCTGTCTAGGAGAAGGGTGGAGGCTTTGCAATGAATAAAAGACTAGAGAAAGATAACTGTCCCACTGCCTGCATGTCAGACTGTATCTTTCCAGTCCTGACTGGAAAGGTCCAGCTCAGCATCGCTGTGCTAAAGTGTCGTGTTGTGAAACATGAGGAGGTGGAAGCAGCCTTTTGACAGCTCACTGAGCCAAGTCACTTACTGGAAGCCAGGGCTGGGCTGTGGTTTGGAGCTCTGCCGCAAGCCAACATCCCCTGTCTGTGTGTGTTTATTATTCTGTTTAGCTATGAGACACATAGATATTATTTACAGTGTATGCGTGATAGAGATGATGATAAAATTGCACCTCTTTGTGTACAGAGGAGGATTATATCTTTGCTACAGTACCAAACTTCATGCTGCAGTTGGACACAGTCAGTGTCTGTTTTCCCAATTTTCAGAGAATCTTTCCCTCTGGTGCTATCTCTGAGGAGACAGTGTGGTAGATACAGTTTCAGGACGGACAGACTTTGGGGGAGTTGAATGTGCAAACATGACCATACTGCTTCTTCTACATGACTTTGTGATTTTCCTGTAGTCTCAGAATTGAATTGAGTATGAATGTAAATCAGTGTCTGAAAACTGTGGCCAATATACTCAGTTGGACTAGTTTTTCCTGTCCCATTATATTCATTTCTAGGAAAAAATCATCTAATATATTGGCTAGCTAGCTTTCCAGATAGGATAACTCATCAGCTAGCCATGCGAGTAGTTGCTAGCCGTGTTTCCATCTAAATGTATCGCAAACCCTAACTGAATTTGAAGTAAATTCACAAAAATAGGGAATGAATGCTTGTTTCTATCCACTACCGTTATGCAAATATTCAGTGTTGTTTCGGTGAGAGAAGTATTGGCTGGCTAGCATGTTAGCGGCTAGCTTTCCAGATACAGTAACTTGTCAGCTAGCTACGCAAGTAGTCATTAGCCATATTTCCATCCAAATGTATCGCAAACTTTAACATAATTTTGAGTAAATCAATGAAAAAAGCGAATGAATGCTTATTTCCATCCGCTACTGTTGTAAAAAAAAAAAAACTACAGGTAATGAACTTATTTTTAAAATACAAAAGTGTGAAATTATCAGTTATCTTACTGGTATCAGCCATGAAAGGCAGGTACTTATTGGTTATCATATCAGCTACAAAACAATCTGTGTGTGCATTCCCTTATTATAAACTTTTGTTCGCTTATTTTCTGCAATATTCCAAAATCCATTGGAAAAATCCTATTGACTTTTTGTTGAAGGAACCAGTTGTTAACTTGCAGTTGGCCTACAATATTTCACCCCTGCAGCACTCAAAAAAATAGCCTGGTTCCAGATCTCTGAATCACCACTCATATCTGATTAATGCACCCACTGACGGTTGCAGAGACTGTCCACTAATCTCCTCACCTCCACTGATGATAATACTCTAAACAAACTGTAATGCTGCAACTAACTTTGTGCATCTGTCTGCAGATCCCTCCTGTTGCCACCATGCTGCAGAGTTCTCGCCTTGCAAAGAAGCTTGTGACCAGGTATAAACACGCACAAACACACGCACACACACACACACACACACACAAACACACACACACACACACACACACACCCATACACACACACACACACACACACACTCACTCATACACACACGCAAGCCCGCTCCTCAGCCCATTATGGTCAGCCTATGAATAGAGGTTTTTGAAGGGGAGTGGTGTAAAGTTTTTTGTCTCTTGGCTCTTTGAAGTGCAGAATAAAAGTTCTGTCTCACCCTGTTTCAATTGGGAGCAGGTGATGCTCTCTCTCTCTCTCCCTCTCTTGGTCTGTCTGTCTCTCTCTCTCTCTCTCTCTCTCTCTCTCTCTCTCTGAAGCCTCCATGTCTTTCTTTATGGCAAAGAGACACAAAGGAGACGTAACAAAAAAAAAGCTTTTCCCTGCATGCAACAAACAGGCAGAGAGTTCAAACCTTCCTCCTGCGTTTGAAGTGGGGGGAACGCTGAAGAGGGAGGCTGGAAAAAACTTATTGTGCTCTTATTGGTTGACATCACCATTTTGGAAGCCAAAGAAAGAAAGAAAACACATAGAAAAAGACATGAAAAAATAGAAAAAAGATGAAAATTGACAAAAAAAAGTAGCTGAGAAATGGTAGGGACATCTCAAAAGTGGGAAAAAAAAGGATGAAAGAAAGTGATAAAGATGAAAAAGATGGAGGAGGAAAAACAATGGCTTTAAAACAGCCTTCAGAGTTTGTGGTTAAGGTCTTGAGTGTAAATGTGGGGGTGTGTTTCGGTGTATGGGTGTAGGGAATGGGTGTCAGGCACACGCTGTAATCACCAGGACCATTTTAGCTTTAATGGAAGCTGCCTTGTGCCTGGTTACACCCAGAAAATGAGCGGTTCTTCAAAGGCTGCGGTGGTTATATATAGAACCATAATGGCTCAAAAAATCTATTTTTTAATTTTCAACAGATTAATGAATCAGAAAAAAAATCCTAATGTAGTTCCAAGTTCGTTTGATTCTTCTGGTCTGGTGCATTCATAAGAGAAATAAAATAAGTAAATGTCAGCACCTGGCCAATAAAGTTTGGGTACTGTTTAGGGTTTGACAGTACAGATCACTCAGGGTCTAGGGTTTATCCATCTAGATATTTTTGGTGTGAGTTGCTGAGTTTTGGAGATGTCTGCCTTCTCTCAAATATAATGGAAATAGAAGGCACTGAGCTCAACTAGGCATGGGGCCGATCCGATCCAGTATCGGTATTGGGACCGATACCAGCGTAATTCACAGATCGGAATTTCCGGAGATATCCGATATCCATGAGCCATGTCTGCGTTAACGTTGTCTGCTGAAATGACTCCACAAGTGATTCCTGCCGGCCAGTCTGCTAGCTAGTATTGACATGACAATCAATTTGGAACCCTTACATATTTGTTTTCAGGATGGGATTTTTCCTGTTAACAGGATTTCCTGTTTTTCTGACTTCCTTTTCTGACCTTATGCTTACCTCAAGTTGCCTGAGAGGAGTTTATTTCAGCCTCATATAAAATCAACAATAATGATAATAATAATATTAAAGCAAACAGAGCTCTGGTATCGGAATAATTTTCTTTCTACAGAACTATGCCCATCAACCGTAGCTGAACGTAAGCTATCTCAGTGGTGCTAGGTGGGCTAGCTAACCCTACTGCCATTAATGTTTACATCCTGTACTGTGATGAGCATGAGCCTCTCGTCCCTGAGTAGATGCGCTTTCCTCTTTCCTCCCTGTAATACGTAGCAAGCACTGGTGCCAGAATACTTTCAGGTATTATGGTAACCTCTTCAACTCTACGCTGACAAATACATGCCGACATTACTGTCTTTCAGAGGCTGTAGCAGGCTCAGCTTTCAAGCTATAGTGAAGATACTGAAGACCTCCATTGGTAACAATCATGTCATGCTAGCTTGTCAAGAAAAGGGCTAAATAACACCCCAGTATTTTTGGCGATTGAAAAAAAAAGATTGAAAAAGTGGCATAGTCATTTTCAAAGGGATTCCTTGACCTCTGACCTCAAGATATGTGAATGAAAATGGGTTCTATGGGTACCTGTGAGTCTCCCCTTAAAAGACATTCTATGGGTACCTGTGAGTCTCCCCTTAAAAGACATGCCCATTTTATGCTAATCCCATGCAGTTTTTTGTATGCAGTATAAATGCGTTATTAAATATTTCAACATACTGGGGTCCAATGGACTGGTCCAGTATGTCAAAATGGTGTGGGAATTGCATAAATTGGGTATGACTGGAGAGCTGAGAAGTGGATTCCATGAGCCCAACATGGACAGAATATAAAAAAGGCATGTCACGATACCAGACATTTAGTAGTTGTTTCCAATACAGGTGAAATTTCACAATTGAACCTAGGTCCAATTTAGAGTAAAATAGACAGTAAAGCAGGGTATGCTTTAGGGCATGGCTATTTCATGATTGACAAGTCATTTCATTTTCAGTAAGTCTGTCCATCTTAACGCACTGAACTCAGATCAAACTGTCAAAATTTTGTCACTGCGCTTCTTGCCTAAAATCTTTTCAGAAACATGTTAAGCTGTAATACTCGAAGGCTGAGACTGAAAGGAAGATGAAGTTGTATTAGACCATCCTAAGTTGAATGCCCCCCACTTTAAAACTCATTCCGGCATCAGTTCCTACTTGAAACCGCTCACAGCAAGATCTGTGGCTTATCTTGATTTTGTACATCTTCATTCCAAATAACTGATTTTCTAGCTGCTCATGTGGGTTTTATTTTACAGATTGTTCTATTTATATGATTCCTAAATTTCCGCAGTTAACTTGGTGAGTAAAATATTCTAACTGAATGATGGTCGAAACTTTGGAGTCACAGGTTGTAAAAGTGGGCTTTATTAGCAATGTATAAGTCCTGTGAAGATCTGTTTGCACTAGTGCTGTCAAACGATTAAAATATTTAATCGCGATGAATCGCATTAATGTCATAGTTAACTCGCAATTAATGGCAATTAATCACACATTTTTATCTATTCTAAATGTCCCTTTAATATTTTTTGTCCCATTATTTTTTCTCGTTTTAATGCTCTTATCAACATGGAAAAGTGGATCAGCTTGCTTTGTGAAGATGTTTTTATTGAAAAATTATCCATTGTCGCCTGGCTTTGACAAGGGGGCGGAGAATTCACATCAGCAGTGTGCTTGGCCATCAAGTGGTATTTCAGACTGGACGTGCTGCAATGATAGTTTAGTTCACAACGACAAAACACACAGATCACTTTGGTCTTGTCAATGGAACCATTTGGCAACTTTTTAAAAGAAAACTTTCCATTCAGAATATTATTGGCATCCATTTCAGCGTCTCGTGCTCGCCATCCACTCAAAACGCAACGTCTACTACTCTTAAACAAGTGTGTGCGGCGTGCCTGTTGTTTTGTTTCCGGTCTAGCTAGATCCGGTGTGGTGTTGTAGTTTTTCTAACGTTACTAGTTGTTGCAACAGCATGTGAAAAAAACTACAAAGTGTGCTAGGCCAAAAAGAATGTTAATCTTGCGATAAAAAAATTGACGCCGTTAAAATGGGTTTGCGTTAACGCCGTTAATAATACGTTTAACTGACAGCACTAGTTTGCGCATGTGCTTTTCTTTAAAGTTTCTTTCTTTCTTTAGAGCCAACAAATCTATAAGTCTGAAGGATCTAATTGCAGCTGAACTCCACAGGAGTTCACTCTACAGTTTGACATACCTTCATACCTAGAGAAGGAACCTATGATCAGAATCAGCTGTTTTTGACTTTTGCTGTAATAAAAAACACAGACTCTTAGGCCTTCATGGCAAATGATTTGAAACTACTGCTGCGCCCAACTGTTTTTTCTTGGGCCCGGCCCTGGAGAAAGTCCATCAGTCTGCCAACCAGCACTTATTCACCTTTCATACAGACTAAGAGGGTCTTACAAATGGCCTCGGTTTTCAGAGTTGGTCTTTTGTTGCATCAGAGAGATTTCTTCTTTGATTATCTGCCAACAAAACACTGTCACTCCGTTTGGTGTTGTGTTTTTCCATCACTTCAGCTGGGATGTATGGGCATTTGTATAAGGAGTTGATCAAGGTCCAAAATTGACAGTGGTTTAAAAACAGAACAGAATTCTACAGTTGCAGTTTTCCTTTTTTAAGTGAAAGATAAGTGATAGAATAATGTAATGTTTTTGAGTTCAAATATCTTCATTTGGGGGCTTTTACAAGTAAATACTGATATGTGATTGTTTGTGATTAAAGGTCCAGTGTGTAACATTGAGGAGGATCTATTGTCAGAAATGGAATATAATATCCATAGGTATGTTTTCATTCGTGTATAATCACCTGAAAATAAGAATCGTTGTGTTTTTGTTAAGTTACCTTACAATTAGCCGTTTTGTCAGCACGGCAGTGCCCCGCTCTCACTGTGAGACCTGAATGCCCCGCAGTGAATGCTGCATTCAAGTGATGTTGGCATAATCAGAAAAACTCTTTCTGACTGGCAAAATTCAAGAACATCCCCTCATGTCGGAAAAGAACTTGTTAACTCTGTCATAATTTTGGTAGTTGCTGACTTGAATTGATATCCACAGTATTTTTCCACATGTTACACATAAACAATAGAAACATGAACTTAAAATGGCCGAAATAATGACTAGCAAACGTGGGAACAGGGAATTTCCGTCACACCGTGAATGCAGCACAGCGTGCTTACATTTTGAAACAGACAACATGGCGTCAATTGTGTGGGACTTTTTCAAAGTCTCTAAAGAAGACAGGTCGCTTGTTATTTGTAACAAATGTTCCAAGCAAGTTCCACGAGGAGGTAAAAGTAGCACAAGCTTCAATACGTCAAACCTGATAAGTCACCTGAAACATAGCCATTGCTTTAAATCTCTCTCTCTCTCTCTCCCTCTCTCTCTCAATTCAAGCCATCGCTTCGACAGAGTCTCTCTCTCTCCCTCTCTCTCTCCCCCTCTCTCTCTCTCAATTGAATTCAAATCAGCTTTATTGGCATG